AAAAAAAGCATCAGAAATGACACCACACTTCTCACAGCAGCCTTATTCCCAAAACTGCCCCCCTGAAAATGCCCCACCCCAACGCCCATCATGCATCAATCTCGTAAACACACCAAACGTAAAAAACTACGACTCAGTGGCAGCCGCGCAATTTCAAGTGAAAAGAGTGAAAAATCCTTGACAACATCTGAGCCAGTGCTCCATCCATGCAACATACAGTAGCCTCTTACACCAGCAGCAAGCACTTTTCTTCCCCCCACCCAAGAGGAAAATAACTGAGAGGCTTTTAACTGCTCATCCAGTCATAAACACAACCATAAATCAAGAATGGCCACTCGTCATGATCATGGAAGAAGTGACGATGATGATGAGGATGATGGAAAAGGTGCAGGAAGACAGATTAAACAAAAATAATAGTAATTAAAAAAGAAGGGAAAAAAATCATCCATGCTGTGACGGAAGCAGATCTCATCAGCAATCGTGTCGTAGTGACTTCTCACCAGCCATGCCTGTGTTGTAGCCACTCCACCCAGCATGCTTTGCAAACCACATGACTTTTAAGGATCAAGGTGCAATGGGACAGCGCACGATATCGAGAAGAACGAGAACAGCATTAACAGCACGAACATCAACAGGAAGTGGTTTCGAGAGAGACGCCTTTGCGTGCTGCACCACTGCACCATGCTATAGTGAAGCCGAAGGGGGGGGGGGGGGGGAGGGTTAAACAACAGCCATCCGGAAACCTTCTCTGGGCCAGAAGAATTAAGGTCACAGTTGGACATGGAGGGGACACAGAGGAGAAAATGGTCACTGTTGAAAAAAAAATTTAAATAGGAAAAAGAGGCGAGCGTGCCGTTACCTCGATTTTACGTCCTTCCACCAGCGTGCCGTGGAGCTTCTCTCTGGCCCTCTCTGCATCTGCGCTCGACTCAAACGTAACAAAACCGAAGCCCTGCAAGCAAAGGAGGGTAAAGAAACGACAAGGAGACGCAGGAGGAGGAGGAGAAGGAGATTGCAGTTAAGCTTTTTTTTTTTTTTTTTTTTGCTGCATTTTGAAATGCCTGACATGTTTTCTTTTTCCTCAGTGTCCTACCTTCGATCCCCTCTCGTTAAAAATGATCTCCACATCAAGGATTTTGCCAAATTGCTGAAACAAGAAACAGGAAAATAATGAATTAATGAATTAAAAAAAGAGAAGGAAAATGAAGAAGCTGAGCGAGCATGTAAGTCACACACACTGCTTCTCGCCACGGGGTGTCAGCACTGTTCAACCACGATGAGCTGGCACTGAGCCTACACTGGCTGCTTGGTCTTCTACCATATCTTCCTTTCCTCTGTTCTTTTCTCTGCACTGCATTTTAGAGCCGTTCCTCTTGCAAAACAGGAGGGAACCAGGCCAGATTATTACACTTCACTTTAGATAAGCTGCTGGAGAGCTGAAAATCTAAATAATCAAATAAGACAATGGATTCTGCTCAGCAAAAAAACAGCATGGCAAACCCTTGTTTTTATATAAGCGTCACTAGAAGATAGCAAAGGGCTGCAGTCACTAGATGAGGGGGGTTTAGTTTAGAGGGGATTTTACTCTGTTATGTAACGATACACAGTGGAGGGGAAAAAAGGCAACGTTCTGGTCCGCTTACCCCAAACATTTGCCGTAGGTCAGGGTCTCGGAAGCGGAAGGGGATGTTAGATACGTGAAGGCGTTTGGGGGTGGCCTTGGAGTCCGAATCGTCTCCGGCGTTCCCCCCGCCGCCTCCACCTCCCGAGCCAACCCCAGACTGGCCGTCAATCTGGGAGGACCCATCTGACTGCTTAGACACAAGGATGCAAAAAGACAAACAGAGACAGACAGACGAAAACAAAGAGGTCTTGTTAGGGTTGCGAAAAGACGATACGCAATGCACCATTAGCTGACAGACTGTCATCTGTCAGATTTGCACTGCAGTAGGCGCTGCTCGCTGCTTCCATTAATCAGCTGATTATTGTGCTGATTAGTTCATTAATCAGCTTGCACAAATTATGGATTGAACAGGAAAAATGTCCAAGTACTCGCTTTGCCTAGAAACAGGCAAAAAGCACAAAATATCGATTATGTTTCATAATCGATATTTTGTGCTTTTTGCCTGCGAGAAGAACACAAAGACAGTATTTTTCCCATTTTTTGGCGTGTTGCTTGAACAGAGTCCAAAATTATTAAAGGGAAAATTAAAACAGTTGCAAAAATCTGTGAATTGACTCAAACAACCGACAGAACATAATAAATAAATGATTTAACCTCAACATATTTGTATTGCCTCTGGTTATAAGCAGCAGTGTACAACGAATGAAAACCACAACTGTTTTTATTCACTGTAAATTTTATTTCATGTGACGCTGTAGTATTTGATTTAAAAAATACTTATGGCATAGTCCAAAAGTCTTGAGCCACCTTTCATTTCTTTATGTTTTGCTTGAAAATTTTGAAAAGGTTTGCAGTGATTTATTGAAACACGTGCAAACATACATGCACAACATAGTATATATTGTACAACTGCAGCAAGCTTAAAAGTCAATATGACCAGCGTTGTTGTTCAACATAGCCTGAACACTCTGAGGTCCGGGCTTTGAGGAGGCCAATCCACGACTGGTAGAATTCCAGCGTGTTTTTCTATCCAGGAATGCTTTTGATGTTGTTTGGGACCACTGCGATGCTAAAAGTGAAGCTGTTGCCAATTAAGATGCTTTCCAGATGGTAATCAATGAGGATCAAACTCTGGCCTTACTTCTGATTTCATAATTTCATATTTCAGCAGTTTTAACACGATCCCCAACTCCACTAGCTCAAAAGTACGACAGAGCCTCCAAAGTGTTTTACAGATGGCTGTCGACACTCACTGCTGCACCTCCATCCTGACCTCCTCTCTACAAACTGACAACAATTTGTACCAAAAAATGTCAAATTTGGATTCATCGCTGCATAAAATTTGTGGCAACAAGTATTTGTGTTGTCTGTGAGACATGACTTTCTGTTTATCTGGTGTAGGTAGTTTTCTTTAGCCCTGCCACTTCTTTTCTCCTCCTTTTGGCCAGTTTCCTCAGCATTTTAAGGACACGCTGCACACCCTGCTGAGATATGCCAAGTTTTCTGCTAATAGCTCTTTGATAATCACCATGTTGGTGCAAAAATAAAATTTCAATTTCAAATTGTGTTATCGCTGGCATTTTTCACAGATTCAACTAAAGAAATGGGGAAAAAATTATGGGACAGACTGCTAGTAACGGTGCCAGAAGTGCCAAAGATTATCATCTAAAATTGGCTCTTTGCTCAGTTGTCTGCTGTGTGGAGACACAACACCACTTCATATCTTGACTAAGGATTTTTTGTTGTTGCTTGAATTATTCATAAGTCAGTGTTAAGTTGCTTAACAAACAACAACAACAAGGGGGAAAAAAAGCAAACATTACTCTAAAAATGAGAAACTTTAGGAACTGGAGTGAGTAGAAAAGCAGCCAATGTCCAAAGAAAAACTTCAAAAGACCTTCAGAAAATCTGGCTACTATATATAAAGAAATGAGGTGTGGGTCAAGACTTTTGCACAGTACTGTCATTCTTTGGATTTGCAAAATTAGACACACAGTCCAATCTAAACATGTAGTTTCTCTCAGCTGTCCAATTTTAATATTTATAAGGATTTATTGTTGATGATGTTTAAATACCACCATCTGAAAAAAATGAAACCTGAATTTTTCACCTTTTTTCCACCTGAAGAAAAAACAGTGGATAAAAATTAACTGTATGGTGACAAAACATTGCATATGACATTATATAAGTGGCGGCCATCAGCAGTAACACCCATGTCAAATTCCTGCTTTAAGCAAATTGTGTTTTCACACTTCTGTCATTTTTTAAAAAGTTGGGTAGGCAATGTTACCAACAGTCGTTCTTTGTGTGAGCGTTTAGCTGTGTGGGCTTTTGCATGTCAAAGTGCTCAAAGACAAACAAAGCAAAAAGAAGAGTGAAGATTGGGCTGTAATTTGCAAGTCGACCAGAGAAGAAAAAAAAACAAAAACCCTCCAAATAAATGTAGCTATTCCACCCTAACTGCTGGATGAGTTAAAAAAAAAAGAAGCTGTTTTCCTATCATAATGATAGAAAGCACTTAGAGAGTGAATTCCAAACCATGGCAAATGACCTGTTTTGCAATTTCAAAGAAACTGATCCAGAACTCTCCCACTCTTGCCTCCAAAACATTTAATGGGTTCTTTCTTTGCCCGCGCTCCACCTTTCCAGTTTCATGAAATACGGTTTGGTAGTTTTTACATAAACTTGCTGACAGACAGACAAAAGGCAGCCTTCACACACTCTCTCAGTGTTGTTTCTGCGACAGTGAAGTGGCCACAGAATCGGTTATGACAGGTGGAATTATTTGTGTTTGGAGGAACGATCGTAACACAGAGAGGTTTATACATTTTAATCGGAGCGAGATAAAAACAAAACAAAATGTGAAAATGTTACAGCTCAGTTGAAAAGAAAAACTTGAATTGTGGTCACAATTAGTAATGTGCTCCTATAATATCCTCATTTCAGTCTGTAACATGTATCCCACTCACTAAGCGCCCTCTCAAGGCACAGCCTGGGTGTGGGCTGCCCACAGAGGAAGGAGGCCGGTACTCACTTGGGCACTGAGGCTGTTAGCGGCGTTGGCTGCGCTATTCGCTGCTCCGCCGGCTTCCACGGGACCCTGGACGGCCCCTGCAGCATACAGGCTGCCCCCGTAATCCAGGGCCAGGCCGTTCTGGGGGGGCGGTGGTGGAGGAGGCGGGAAGGCAGAGAAAGGTGGGGGGACGAGTCCCTCCTGACCGCCAGCACTATCCTGAGAACCCTGTTGGAAGAAAAAGAGAGAAAAGTGAGGTGGGAGTGAGAACTAAAGTGGTCGGCTGGCGAAATACCACGGTATCTTTTACTAAGAGCATCACCCGACCACACAGAGACCACTTCCCCAAGAGCGTCAGTCTAAAAGTCATACAGGCATGGATATTATATTTCCATTTTCCTGTGTGTGTGTGTGTGTGTGTGTGTGTGCGCATGTATCTAACCCCCCACCCCCACCCCACCCCCCAACCATTAAATATTCACTGCTGCCACATCTATTATTGAGGGTCAGATGCCTCCATGCTCAGTGTGTTGCACAATGATGAGTGTCTAATGCCTGCACGCACACTTACAAACGCCTCTGCACACAAACCACCTTTGACACGCAAACACCCACACACCTAAACGCTCACACAAAGACCAACTGTTTGCAAGGAAGTCGGCCCAAGTACTTCGTACATATTATCCCCCCCCACCCCCAAGAAGATGCATGTGTAAGATGCCAAAATTCGAGCTTGTAGGAGAACAACACAGGCGTCCATAAACACATGGTGGAGACACATAAACATGGCAGAGGCATTAACACAACAGACACACGCACGCACACACATTCCTTACTGCTGGCAGTGGGGTATGGATACCCTAAATGGTAACAGAGAGGCAGCAAGGATGGGAGAGGATGGGGCCGGGCTGGGGGATTTGAAGATAAAAGGTGATGACAGATTCAAGAGTCGAGGCCCGATCCATAGCTGCAAAGGATTACTCAAACTTCACCAGATTTCTAATTCCAATAACTGCAGTGTTCAGTCATTTTATTAAAGACTATAAAAACACTACGATGGTTTTCTGGTTCAGAGAGGGATGCTTTAAATGCTAATGTCACCACGCTTTAAGAAAATAAATAAATAAATAAATCAGGACATTGTCTGAGTTTGTCCTTTTTCACACAAAGTACCGCAAAGCATGAAACGGTCTACTTACGACGTGTTCACACTACCAGAAACAGATTGCCTGGATGAGACATGCAAAAGGCAGTAAGCGACACCCCCTCACTTATTGTAGCTGTGAACGCAGTGGACGATTAGCAGAGCGTTTTGTCAACCGGTACAGTCTGACCTCTCACATGCTGGTAGATGAGCATGGCAGTGAAACACATGCAGGTGTTTCACTGCCATAACACCTTTGTCAGGTGATGTAAGAAATGCTAAGGGCTGCAGAGAAAGTGTAAAAACAGTTAAAAGCAACAAACTTAACATACTGACATTTAGCAGGTATAAAGTATTCACTATATGCATCTTCCTGCTAAAAGGGAGTTTTTCCTTCCCACTGTCGCCAAGTGCTTGCTCATAGTTTGTTGCCTAATGGTTTTTCTGTATTATTGTAGGCTCCCCTCCAATATAATGTGCATTGAGGCAACTGTTGCTGTGATTTGGCGCTATACAAATCAAACCGAATGAAATCAAATTTTTAGTGGTAAGATTCATCTACTGGGGACCAGGAATGTACAAAACTGTTGTGGTAATGCATTCAAGTGGTTGCAGAGATCACGCTGATTGCCAAAATCCAGTTGACCATCATCATTAATCTGGCGTGAGCCACGTTAGCATGTTAGCCCTGATTTAAAATACAAAAAACTCTACCAACTCTCAATATTTTTTTCACCACACCTAATACATAAGGCACATATGACATTAAAATGTACCAGAAAATGAGAACTAAAAAACCTGATACCGGCACCAGAAAAAAAAATCATAAAAAGTAAATTATACATTTATAAATCACAATAGATACAAATGATGACGATATCTAGAAACCCGGAGTAGCACCCATTGTGTAGCTTTTTTTGTTCAGCCTATTCTCCTTTGCTGTGTCTTTCTAACCGCTTTGTTCTTCTCATTTGACTGTAACAACTAATTACTACAATCATCATCATCATTGCTTTATTAGAAATAGTACTAATGTAAGACAGACTCGCAAAGACAGTAATACAATAATTAATTAGTAAAAGAAGTTACAATGTCGCCCCCCCATCGAAATTATATCACTTCTAAATAGACTCAGTTGAACCTACCTGACATCTGCTTGGCTATACTCACTTCAAGTGGTTGTGTGAGTGAGTGTGTGTGTGTGTCTGTGTGTGTGTGTGAGTGACAGGCTGCAGCAATGCCCATCTGAGCTGCACAATAGATCACTGTCCCTTTGGGAGTGTTAGAAGTGTGTGGGAGGGTGAGTATGTACGTATGTGTGCGTGTGTGTTTGTGTGTGCGTTTGCGAGCATGCCATCTGTCTCCCAGCTTTTGACCTTTCTCAGCGTCACACCTGTGACACTGTAGTCCGGCCCCTCGACTCAGTAACAAACCGGTGGATGCACGCGGTCGACACGGATCACATCGATATTGTGACACGAGAACAGCTTCAGCTGAGCTGCTCCCAGCGAGCAGTGAGAGAGAAACTCTGCCGTGTAACAAGCAGACAAACTTAAGCAAATAAAGCTGGAATTTGTTAAACGTAACAACTTAAGTATTTTTTCTATTGGATAACTCTAAATACAGAACATAGATTTGTGTACATTTACTATAAACATCAATCTAATGATTTCTTCCTGGACTTCTTTTTTAAGACATTTTATCAGTCAGAAGCATCGTCCTTGAAATGCTTTGTTATCAAAAGGAAAATGCCGCCCATCACACTTCAAAGAAATTCGTTCCTGTATGTACCTATATACAACCTCAATGGATTGAGTCAGGCAGCATTGGTCGGGAGACTCCTACGAAGTTAAAACCAAGTATGAGAATGAGGAGGAAAGGTGATTTAGGTGACTTTGAAAGTGGCATGGCCATTGGTGCCAGACAGGCTGGTTTGACAAACTGCTGATCTACTGAGATTTTCACATGCAGCCATCTCCAGGGTTTATACAGAACGGAGGGGGTGGGGGTGGGGGTGGGGTATAAATCCAGTGAGTGGCAGTTCTCTGGGCGAAAATGCTTTGTTGACTGGAGAGGCCAGAGACAAACAGCCAGAGTGGTTTGAGCTTACAGAAACGTGGCAGCAACTCAAATAACCACCAATATGCAGATGAGCATCGCCGAACACAGCACAAAGAATATGGAAGCAGATGGCCCACAGCAGAAGACGACCACACCGGGTGCCGCTCCTGTCATCTCGGAACAGGAAATTGAGTGGCACGGGTTCACTAAAAATTGGGACAAAACGTTGCCTGGTCGCGATGAATCTCGATTTGTGGTGCAGCACTCAGACGGACGGGTCAGGATTTGGCATAAACAAAACAAAAGCACGGATCCATCCTGCTTTGTATCGACGATTCAGGTTGCTGGTGTAATTGTGTTGCAGATGTGTTTTTTTTATGGTACACTTTGAACCGCATGCTGTTTGTGACCATGCCCATCCCTTTATAATGACAGTGTACCCATCTTCAAATGGCTATTTTCAGCAGGAGAATGGGCTCAGTGGTATCCTCAGTATACTCCACAGTCTCCACATCTCAATCCAATCGAGCACCCTTGAGATGTGGGGGAACGGGCAAAAGGAGAAAAAAAAGAAAAAGAAAAATGGCTTCATGAGCTGCACGATTCCTTCATGCCAGTGAGGACCAAAATCTCAGAGGAATGTTTCCAGCACCTCGCTGAATCGATGCCACAAAGAATTTATGCAGCTCTAAAAGCAAAGCGGGGTCTAAAACTTAAGAATAATCATGTCTGATATACCGGAACTCACAAGTCGGTAAGTAAATGAGTAAAGTTCATTTTTATAGCACTTTTTGAGACAAGGAATGGTCACAAATTGCTTTACAGAGGTAATTTAATCAAATCCTGCCCACGCCAAAGGCAAAGTGGACACACATGAATGAAGAAAAACAACACAGTGTCTGTCTGAACACATGAGTTTTAAGCTGCCTTTTTAAAGAACAACAAAAGAATGATATAATTATTCATCTAATCATTTACTAGAAGATTCCTGGTGCAGAAAATTCTTTGCATCGCACCTATACTTGTCTTTCCTGCCATCGTGAGGTGAAAAGGCAGACAGAACCAGACGCTTTAAGAGGAATGCTTTGAACTCGTCCGTTAAAGGCTGCAGCCGCGTTCTGCCTTTTGTGATTTCAGGAGTGTAATTACAAAAAGAAATCCCGCCATCTCCCTGGCTCTCGCTCACCGATAACGGGCACTAAAATGCATGTTTATCGCTCATCTCAACACTGTGAGCCTTGCCCCGAAGCGCCGCTGCCACACCATTTCGCCGCGCGCACACATCCCCGCAGCTCGCCTGGCAGGTGAAGAGTCACCACCTCGGGCAAAACAGAAACCGCGATCCTCATCTTCAGTGGCTGCCACTTGAGCAATACAGCCACCAGATTACTGACCACAGTGTCCAAGTTTAACTTCATTCACGTTTTCAGATAGCAGCTGTGTCCGCTCATCTAAACTCTGCAGCTGTATGAACCTCTTCCAATCTCGCCCACAAGCACCCAAATTAAGATTTTGATACAAGATAGCGCTCCTCAACATCCTCGCCTCCGTGTCCTAAGTTTCACGTCGCAGCGCAAACACCTTACACCTTGGCGAGCCGTGCTTGTGATTTGCACAGATTGTTCCTGTGATTATTATAACCTGCCAGGGTTTCAGGATGCATGCTTTTAGAGGTGCGGGTTTGCAAAATCTCAGCTCTTCCAAGTTCCCAGAATAAATAAAGAGAAATGAACTGCTGCATCTCTTTTCCTGCATTACTTCACCCTCTCATTAATTTGGTTTCTGTTATTAGCCGTTATGATTTTATGCTCCAATTAGTGAACAAAACATGCATTTTCTCCTTGTTGTGGGGAAAAGAAACAACACTCTGTTACATCACTGGTGGCAATAATGTGAACATTAGCTGCAATCCTCTGATGAGAGATCCTGAATTCATTACATTTGCTCAATTCAGAGATGCAAAAAAAAAAAAGAGGAGAGAGCAGAGATGTGGAAATTAGCTAGTTTAGATCAAGCTTTTAAC